GGTTGGGAGCTTCAGTCGCCCACCAGCCTGAAAACGGCCCTCAGCCCCTCACCCAGACTGGCCAGGCACCCAAGCGGGACCCCCACCCTGAAGCAACAAGATGGCGGCTAATATGCATACTGAAGGCGGACGGCAGCGGGCAAGGCTGTCCGCGGTCTGGAACCTGGATCCGTGACCCTGCCAGGAGGGGGGCAGTGCTTGAGGCTGTCTGCTGTCCCGGGACCCGGATCCGTGACCTGGCGGGCGAGGCGGCAGCGCTTGAGGCTGTCCATGGTCTGGGACCCGGATCCATGACCTGGTGGGTGGGTGGCAGTGCTTGAGGCTGTCCGCGGTCTGGAACCCCGATCTGTGACCTGGTGGGCGGGGGGCAGCGCTTGAGGCTGTGCGCGGTCTGTAACCTGGATCCGTGACCTGGCGGGCGGGGGGCAGTGCTTGAGACTGTCTGCTGTCCCGGGACCCGGATCTGTGACCCTTTCCCGCGGGGCAGCAGCTCGCACAGGGGCGGATTGACTGGGGTTGGGCAGGGCAGGACGCCTGGCTTCCGCCCAGCCCTAGTCACTCTGGGCAGGTGAGCAGCGCAGAGAGCATCTGGACAGGGGAGGCAGGACAGCAGAGGGCGCCCTGTACTCCCCACATGGCGGTGGTGACAGCTGTGAGTGCGCCAAGTGGAGCCTGCAGGCTGAGCTGAAGTAGCGCCTGCAGGCCATCAGTGCCCAGGATTGGCTGCTCAAGATCCGCCTCCTGGACCAGAAGGTGCAGGATCGCAGGGACAGCCACCATGGCGGGCCAGACTGACGTCCTCCTGGCTGCACCACGGGGGTTTGCGGATCTGCAAAGCCAAAGGCCTCCAGTGTGCACATCCCCCCCTGGCGTGCGAACATCCCCCAGCACACTGTCACCCTCCCACGCCTGCAACAGTTGCAAACCAAGGCCTGCACAAGTTCCCACCGCACTTCCATCAACCCAGCATGCCTAACACCCCCACAGGATGTGCACACATCCCCTCTGATGCGCTCATGTCCTTTGGAGAGTGTCTGGGTGTTCTGGGTGCTGAGGGTGGGCGCCTGTGAGATGACAGTGA